CATATATGTGACTATCTTGTGGATGCATTTATTAAAATTATAAAATATTTAAATGGTCCACATGGTGGATGAATTGATCCACATAAGCACCTTGAATACATTCTAAAAATACTAGAGATTTAATCTCGGTTTTACTCGTGATAGCTTAATAATCAATTTGCCATGACAATATGCGGAACATGAAAATGCATTAAATTGAAAAATCTTTTGGCTCGTTAATAGATGTCCATATGAATTTTTAATAAGTTTTTGCATATCATGAAAGATCTAATATAACATAACTGGTCATGCTACATAATAGAAGTATTTGAATTAGTAAACTTCTAGTTTACTATATCATTTATTTCAACCATTCCAATATTTGTAATAAAGACTAAAAAAGAAAGCGGTTAAATTTTTCGATACATATTTTCTACCCAAGTATAATAATTATAATATATAAGTATTCACATTTGCTATCTTGATATGATATCAATTTAGATGAATATCTTTGAAACTCAATAAATTTCAATGAGACTTTGAAGAGAATAGTACATTATTTATAATAAAATTTATCCTTTCGGATAATAACATATTTACTTTTCTAGAGCCTTTAAATTATTTCACTTCAAATAATAATATATCGACTCTTCTAGAGCCTTTAAAAATTATCTTTTCAAGTAATAATATATTCACTCTTCTAAAGCTTCAAAAATTTATCTCTTCGAGTCATGATATAATCGCTCTTCTAGATTTTTTTTTGTTAAATTGATATTATCAAATATAATATTAACATAAAATAATTAATTACAAAATAAATAAATAAATAAATTTTTCATAACCACAAATAAATACATATATATATATATAGTAAAATAAATTTATCATTATCTTTATGCAATAAAAATTATAAGAAAATATAAAATATCTTATTTACAAATAGAAAAGCTAATAAGTTATTAATTTCAATTATCTCTATTTTGAAATATAAAATTGGCCTCTATGTTTTACTCTTTTCTTTTTCAACGAGGTTTGACAAGGCTTAATGAGACACTTTAGTATACGGTAGGTACATAACCAACGTCCATTCATACCATATCTATAACATTCATTTTCAAAATACTGATTTTATCTATTTTCATTCTTTTTTTTCCCATAGTTATCTACTTCGGTGGTGAGATATAATATTATGGTCATCACGATTATAATGATAATTATTTCGACCACGTCTATGGCTATGATCACATTTTCGTCCATGCCTAAAATTATTATAAATTGTTACATTCACTTTAGGGAATGGAGTAAATCTAATTAGTTGAGATTTATTCTTTTTCATCAATAGTTTTTCATTTTATTTAACCACGAACAAGTATGAAATTGATTCTAAATATTTCTTAAACTTTTTTTCTCAATATGCTACTGCATGAGCATATTCGAAAAATAAAAAATAGATGATATTAACTCGAGCATCCATCACTCATGATCAATAATTCTTGTCTAAAATGTCAATTGCCACAAAATCAAGTTTTGTAATGGTTGATATCATAAAAATTTTATATTGCAAGGTATAATAATAATATTAAGAAATAAAGATAAAATTTAATAATAAAATTTAAACTTTTCAAACAATATATATCTACATATTAAATCCTTTAAGTTTTTGAAATGTATAGTCTATGTATCATTAGATTTAAAGTATATGATAAATTAAATACATACCTCTTAATGATCTAAATAATTTAGATATTTTGATAGAGCACTTGTGTAGAAGAAATCCAATGATTGAAACAATTGATTAAGTCTTTTGATAGATATATACCTCATGGTCTATTACCTCGATTGCTTAGAGCATCATGTTGATAACGTGTTATAAAAGAAATAGAAATAATAGGAGAATTCAAGAGAAAAATGATAAAGAAATGATTTCATTATAAAGAGAATATAAGAGGTAACAACTCTAAACAATTCTCACAATCTCTATAAAATGCTTGTACATCAACTAATGAACAATCAAGCCTATTTATAGGCTTCAAATTTAAGAAAAGAATTGAAAAGAACTACGAATAATCAATTGCATCATCCTTTCAATTTCTCATATTGAATGATGAATTGAATCATATTAAGAATCATGAGTAGTAGGGATATGAAAAGTAGATGAACATGATGATAGACATTCATTATTTCGTAACAAATTCTAACTTATTAAGCCCAATAAATCGATCTATAAACAAAACTATTGGAACTCTTTCCATAAACTTTAAGAGAAATAAATAGAAAATGGACTCTCAATAAGCAAAAGTTGAGCAAAGACATGAGAAAAGTCCTATTCTAAAAGGTAAAGTGACCAACAAGTAATATACAAGTACTTAGAGAATAACGAAATTTTAATAGCAAATAAAGCATGATCCAAACAATTAGAAAAAATAAAGATAACGTAATATGCTTTGCGAGCACAAGAAAAAAGACCATAAATGCATTGCGGTGCAAGAAAAGAGAAACATGAAGCACTAGAACATGCATGAGGAAGAGTGGCCTACTACTGGAGGTCGTGAAGAAACAAAAAGCCTATAAATATCGATTGTAACTAATGAAAAACATACACAATAATTCACAACACAAGCAAACTCTTATAAATTACAAACAATTTAAAAAGCACTTTCACAAGTTTCACACTTGAAACTTATTAGGCAATAACTAGTAAGGATAATTTATAGGTGATAGCTTATAAACGAGTAATTAGCATACGGTAATTTATAGATCGTAATCTAATAGGTAATAATCTATAGGCTGATAGTTGGTTCATAATTCTCTCTTTGTGCTCACAACATTTATCATTCTCAATTCCTTCAAAATCTATTATGTCCGAATCGTCTATTTACGAATATTCATAGTTCTTTTTTACTATAAGTTCATTGAATTCGAGTATTATATATTATAAAGTCTTCAAGTTCATAATTGTCAAGTTTTTATTTATATTGTAGCCTAATGTTCATAGTGTTTTGATTTTTTATTTCTCTAGTTTTTAGTTTAATTCTATTGTTTTGTTCGGCTTGGATTGGTCGACAAACTTATCATTTAGGATAAAGTAATTAGCTTTAAGTGGGGCTATCATTTGAGTCTAACGTATCTTGATTAGAGGAGAATGCACCCTTCGTCTATATAAATACTTTATTAATGAAATTTTTCTCACACTTTTATGGGTTTTAGATTTCATTATAAAAGATCTTTGGCAAGTCGTTCTACATCAATTTTTTTTCCAAAGTGATTTTCTTTCATCACCCTTCCTCGGTCTCATTTGCTTATCATTTGTCTTGAGAATAATTCTTCTCAATTAGGTGCTTTTATAAGTTTTTTTTTTCAAATCCACATTGTGAGAGATAATCTATTATATGTTTCCTTGGTTTCTTCTTTCATTTAGTATAGAGATAGTCGGAAATACGTTTGGAGTCGTTCCCAATAATGGTGTGAGAAAAGATGAAAGTTTGGGTATAAACACATTTTTTTTTTTTTTTTTACCTCGAGGTGAGTCTAGATGTGTCTTTTTTTGTAATATGAAAGGTTTGAACTATTTGTTTGGTGACATGCTCATTGTCTTTGATAGCTTGTTGGGGAAGAATTTTCTTTCAAATTTAGCCCATCTATTTATAGGATGAACAAGGCCCCTTTTGGCATGTTCAAGTGGAAGTTAGACATTGTTGTCCTTACATACATGTTCAACTATGAGTTCTTTTTTTTTTTTTTTAAATCTTGTTTTTATGGTGGAAGTGTTTATTTACTTCTACTTGAGTGGGGTCGGATTCATCAAAATGGATGAACCATTCGACCGCTTTCAACCATTTTTGTCGAAGTCTTGGTGTTATCCCAACTCTTAGACTTTTTAGATATTTTTATTTTTTGATTAACATAATTAGTAAGAAAGAAAGGAGGGCTTGAGTAGCTACTTTTTGGGCAAACCAAGCAAGTTCATTGAAAGGTATGGTTCACCCTAAAATCCGGAGTAGTTATGATCATTGTTCCGTTTTAAAGATATTTTGACATTTATGGGGTGTTTGATAACCTATTTAAGTAGCTTAAAAAATTAAGTTGTAGTACTTAATATAAAAAGTTTATTTGATAATCTAAATAATCTCATATTAAAAATTTAAGTTCAGTCAAAATCTACTTAATCGGATAAGTTAAAGTTTTTAACTTATTACTTTTTTTATTAACACACTCAATTGAAAGATTTTTAAAATTTTTCAAATATAACTATATCGTCCTTATATATTTTTATAACTTTAGATATACAAACAATTGAAAAATAATATTTACTATCCCTATTGCTAAAACATAAGAAACCTTTTTCATTATCGGTGCTAGCATCCCGAAACCCGAAAAACTAATTAATGTTATTTTAGACCCCATTCAATTTTTTATTAATAATCATTTTTATTAAATATTTATTTATTTATTTATTTGTACATACAAACACATCTATGTATATATATTTTATTTATGTTAAAAAATATTATGTTACAATTATAAGGTTAAAATTGTCATGTGCATAGCTTCAATATGTTGAGTAATATTACTTATCAAACAAGTTTATTATATTTAGCACTTAATTTTCGATAAACATCAAACGAACTTGTCGGGAACACAATCAATACTTAATTATTCAATACTTAACAAATTTAACGTTTAATTTTTAGTTTTATCAAATGCCCGCGTAACATTATAAAATTGCTCTTGTTGCTTTAAAAACTAGGACTAAAATATAAAATACACCATAGATTAGGGACTACCCTGTAGTATTTCCTAAATAGTTTAAGAGTTACAACGTTCAAATCAAACGGTATATAAACTCCATAATTTCCCCAAAACACCCTTCTTATAATTTCCAAACTTCAAATTCCCATTCTCTCTCCCTCCTCTCCTACTGCCAAAAAAAGAAAAAAAAAAAAAAAAAGGACGTTCATGTCGATTTAGCAAGTCAGTCTTCTCCATTTCTTAGATTCCCAAACTATACCTCGGCCATTTCCATGGCGAAATCGGAGAAGTCAAAATCCAAACTTCCTCCTTATGTCAATTCCTCCGCCAAAATCCACCCTTCTAATGATCCAGAAACCGATCCTAATTCTTACTCGCTCGAGAAATTTAGACTTTACGAGACTAGACAGGTAACAAAATTCAATAATTCCTTATCGCTTTTGATTCGAAATTTGTGCTTGGGTTATAGTTATTGTTTTGGAATTTGAAGATTAAATTAGAAATCTGTAGAATTTTGGAGATTTTATTTTTTAGGGTTTCATTTAATTGCGGTCTCAATTTGTTTGAATTAATTGATGGTTAAATTTGAATTTCTTGGATCTTTAGTTTAATCGAGAATTTAATTTTTTTTAGAAGAAATTAAAGCATAAATGGTAAAGTAATATAATATTTTTGGGTTTTCTTAAGCAGAGATTTTATCTAGTTGGGAGTGATAGGAACAAGAAATTGTTTCGGGTATTGAAGATTGATCGATCAGAGCCGTCTGATCTCAATATTAGTGAAGACCCAGTTGTTTATTCACCGCTAGAAATAAAAAACTTGCTCCAGCGAATTGCTGAAGGGAATCGTGCCACTGGGGGGCTAAATTTTGTAGTGAAGGCTTATGGGATTGCAGGTTAGTGGTGGTTCGCTAGTTCTTGTTTGTGTATTTTTATGTTGTTGATGCATGGATTTCTTTGTGACAGTGGTGTTACTGGTGTGTATTCTTTTGGTGGTTTTTAGGTTGCATTAAGTTTCTGGAATCATATTATTTGATTCTAGTGACAAAGCGACGGCAAATAGGATTTATTTGTGGTCATGCTGTGTATGGCATAGATGAGAGCCAATTGATTACCATTCCTCATGTATCAGTTCAAACTGATGTGGCTCATTCTAAAGCTGAGCTAAGGTATTTCCTTCACTTTGCATGCTTGTGGATTGCTTTGTCCCCCCCAACGTCTCAATGTTGCCCTTATCTCTCTCTATGTGGGCGTGCCTTTTCATTTCTTCATCTAGAAGAATTGGTTTCATTGTTTCTGGAAATGTACATAAGAAACAATACATATATGCATTCTGTTTTTGATTTCTCCTACTCAGTCCTAACAGAGCAAATTTAATGTTTCTTATGAATGAAAAATGTTTTTTGTTTTCCTCTTTATCCTAACAGAGCAAGCATGGTGTTTATGGCCAGAAAAGTGAGAAATCATGTAGGAAAATACTTGTTTAGATGAATAAAATAGCCTTGAAATTGCCAAAGAGATTGCTAACCTTGTAAGTGGGAAATGTATAAGAGGATCCCAATCGAGAGCAATCAAATAGCAATTCTCAGAGCTCTTGATAAAATTCAAGAAGGAAAAGAAGCGAATGGGAGAACAAGAAATCTCCCGAAAGAAAACACAAACATGCATTCCATATTCTTATTCATTATATCTATTGAATAGAGCATAAATGAGGTTCAACCTTTGTAGTCCTATCTTTCTTGTTTCATTTTAATAAATTTCCTTCTTTCATCAAAAGGGAAAAAATCTATAGTTGAGAGAATATTGAGATACATATCATTTAAAATTATTTGTTTGATTGAGAGCAACGCATTCTTTTGGGCCCCATTTGCCATGTCTTGCCCAATCTAAGAAAATATGGAAATAAAGACAATGAAGTATGTAAACATAATCTCCTTCAAGAGCATAAAGCTTGCATTTCATTATATACAAAGAAAATTGTAGGAATTAATATTTTATCTCTCGTCATCTATAATTTGTTATAAAAAAATGAATTGTAAAACATGAAGAGAATAATTGGAAAGGCTGATGTGGAAAATTTTATTTTCTCACCTTAGTTTCATTTGCCCTTTCTGTTCCTTCTTTTGAAGCTTTATGCATTTCCCTGCAGTCTTTTTCCATAGTACTGTTTGATTTTTTTCATCCCTTGTCTAACATGATCTGACTTTTAGTTTCTGAATGCTTCTTCTTTCTGTTTCCTCAAATGCAGGTACAAGAAGCTATTATCTAGTGTAGATTTGACCAAAGATTTTTTCTTTAGTTATACATATCCCATAATGCAAAGCTTGCAAAAGAATGTGACGTCAATGGGTGAAGATGGAATGCCATATGATAACATGTTTGTGTGGAATGCATATCTATCACGAGCTATTCGGTCTAGATGTGGTAATACTATTTGGACGATAGCATTAGTGCACGGAAATTTTAAGCAGGTATGCAATTCTTTTTGTTTGTTGTATCTCTAATTAATCTGTCGATGATAATGTGCCATGCTAAATATTTTACACAGATTTTATGCATGGAATATATCTTTGTCGATGCAATCCTGCGGTTACCTTTTTTAGATAATTTGTTTTTTCAACATGCTCACTTGCTATTTTTGTGTTTTCTTATAAGTTGTACTTCTTTTAACTATGCACACAGAATTATCATATTCTTGTCGATTATTTGGTTTGATATTCTGTATTTCAAGAAAATTTTTGACTATGTTTCAAAAATAATTTCAGATTTAATTTAATTGTTGCTGGCTAAATTTTGAAGCCTAACTAGTACTTAATAGAAATGGAGTATGTATTTGGGTAAATTTTGGAAGATTTGGAGATGCTTTGTGAAGAACTGTAGAGCAAATGACAAATATGCACATAGCTTGACCATATTCTTGCTGATTATTGGTTTGATGTTCTGTATATTAAGAAAAAAATTGGCCATGGTTCAAACATAATTTTAGATGTAATGTAGTTTGTGCTAGGCCAAAGTTGGAAGCATTCCTAGTACTTAATGGTAATGGAGTATGAATTTGGGTAAATTTTGGAAGATTTGGAGATGCTTGGGACATAATTTGTGAAGAGCTCTAGCACAACTGACAAATGTTATAATTTGTTTCTTTCAAGGTCAAATAGCAACTTCATTTCTGTATTGAATCTGAGTTATCAAGTCTGTTATATCTCTTGCTGCTTTATGTACCTCGTGTGATTTTGATTTTGGAAGTAGGATGTGTGCTGTTTTGATAATTTGGGCTTTGTTTTAAAATACGTTGTTATCCTGTAGAAATAAATTCATCCTATGTGATTCCTTGATAATAGCCTTTGAATTTATTGTAGCCGAGTGTAATGTGTATTAAGCATTTCAACTAACTCTACTGTACTAAATCATGGCAGATCAGGCTGTCAATCTTTGGGAGAGACTTCAGTGTTTCGCTGGTTTCTAGACGCTCTCGACATTTTGCTGGTACCCGGTATGTTTTGGATAGAGCAAGTTTGTCTATGTGTACGGCTCAGTTGCATCTTCAAGTTTCATGTTTTACCACAAAATAAATGGGTTTATGTCACTGGATTCTGTACAAAATCTTTCGAGCTTTTTTTGAGTGGCTTTCTCTCTCTCTCTCACACACGAATCCACACACTATAGACAATATATATGTTTGTCTGTGTGTGTGTCTATGGTTCTTACATTGGTACTTCAACATCTTGAGGATCTATTTGGATTGAACTTGAAATAAAGCATGGGGGATCTGACTGCTGAAATTTAAAGGCCAAACTGAAGTGGTACCAAAATTAGAGGATCCTGTTTGTAATTTATTGAGAGTATAAACAGAGAGAGACCCCAACTAGTTGGGGATTGAGGCTTAGTTTCTATTGTTGTTGGTGTTTTACATGTAGAGAGGGATGACTGCTCGTATGATGATAAGTTTGTAAGTTTACAAATGAGTTGTGGTGGGGAAGTACATAATTACCTGGGAGATTAGATGTGAGAGAGTGAAGGCAATGAATGCACCACATAATGTGATGCAGGCTATGCCAGGATTTCTGGCATTTTCTTTTGACACTCCACACTTTAGTTGGATTGTGTTGTGGTCGCTGATGTTCCCCTCCCCTACCCCCTATTATGGTCCTGATTGAGGGATCTCGTCACAGGTCGATTAACGGGGAAGTCGTTTAACTTTCCCTTGTTAACGTTTTGATTCTCCTGTGAAGAACCTATTGTGAACAGATAACAATGGATGGTTTGTTTTAGAGACCACTAACTCTCCTAGGTTTTTCTTAACTGAATTATTCAATACCTTTATCTAGAAAGCATCCGCTCTTTGTATCGTAGAGGCGGCTGAAAAATTATGACAAACTCTAATAGGTTATTGCCTAGACAGACTCACATTAACATAGAAAGTCTTAATTAAAATATCACACCAATTAGAACTCTCATATTCTTTTCCTAATCTGACTTATTCTTAATAAATAATAAATAAAAGCAATAAATAAATATCCGCAAGATCTTAGTTTCCTTCTTGCGCTATTGGCTTCTTCTATACTGCTGATCCATAACATTACACCCCCCAAAACATTGAGCTTGTCCTCAAGCCCAAAATGAGGATAAGTGTTTTGTAGGGAAGTAACCGATTCTTTTGTAGCATCATCAGGGTGCATTCCTAGTCCCCTATTATGGCTTGAAGGGAGATTTCAAGATCTATGGTGGATCTGGTTCCTCGTCAAAGTTGTCCACCAACAAGTAGAATGGACATTTACATCGATGCCCAACAGAGAACGATTCATCACAATTGTAACAAATTCCCTTTGCTCTCCTCTCCGTCATTTCTGCTCTTGATAACTTTTTAATGAAATGCATTGATGCACTTCCTGTGTCGGAAACCATGGGTAAACTTCCTTCCGCTTGTTTTGATTCATGATTGATAGTGAGTGGAGGAGTTGAACCTGTCATTTTTGGGGGATACCAATTAGAAGGAGTGCTTCTCACTCCAACTCCGCCAGAGAGTTGCAGCTTTCTGTCGAAAGCTTCAGCTAAATTCATAGCTGTAGCCAGATTAGGAGGTCGCTACATCTCAACATCCACCCGTAACGTCTTTGTAAGTCCTGCGATAAACAAATCAACTCGCTGATCACCCCTGACAGAAATAGCCTTAGCCAGGAGTGTCTAGAATTGACTCTGATATTCATCTACTATGTCGGATTATTTCAGATTAGCTAGCTCCCTTAACGGGGGTTACTGCTCAGTGGAGGACCAATCTCAAAGAACAATAGGATTTGAATTGATCCCAAGTGATATTGAGCTTTTCTTGTTCTAGTCGAAAGAACCACAGTTGAGCCTTAACCGTCATGTGAAAAGTGGCTAGGCCTACCTTGTCTCCTTCTTCAGTCTATTGATTTAAGAAAAAAAATTGCTCGCAATGGTAAAGCCACCCCAACGGATCCTCCATTCCACTATAAGAGGGAAATTCCAATCTGGAATATCTGGGAACCACATTGGCATTGGTGTGGCCCTTAGAATTCATTGCTGCTGGTTGGTAGGTCGGTCAAGTGTTGCTACTAGATCCTATTTCGGCTTCTGGTGCCTTACCCTTGTCCAATGATTGCAACTCCAGCAATCTTTGGACGACTTTCATACCATCCTTGAGTTCCCGCAATTCTTGACCCATCGCACGATTGGATTCTGTTAGATCTTCAACCCTAGTTGCTAGTTGCTCGTAATCACCCATGACGATCGGCTTTGATACCAAATTTTTATGGTCCCGATTGAAGGATCTTCAACTTTCCCTTGTTCATGTTTCGATTCTTCCGTGAAGAACCTATTGTGAACAGATAACAATGTTTGGTTTGGTTTAGTTTAGAGACCACCAACTCTCTTAGGTTTTTCTTAACTGAATTATTCAATACCTTTATTTAGAAAGCATTCGCTCTTTATATAGTAGAGGCGGCTGAAAAAATAAAGACAAACCCTAATAGGCTATTGCCTAGACAGACTCACGCTAACATAAAAAGTCTTAATTAAAATATCACGCCAATTAGGACTCATATTGTTTTCCTAATCTGACTTATTCTTAATAAATGATAAATAAAAGCAATAAATAAATATCTGCAAGATCTTAGTTTTTTTTTCTTGCGTTACTGTCTTCTTCTATACTGTTGATCCACAACACCCCCACCCTCTCTCCCTCTCTCCTTTGATATTAGGAATTGAATTATTGCTTGCTTAGGTTCTTGATTGAAAAATCATGGGTTGCTTAGCTCTTCTCTCTCTCTCATTAAGATAATCCTTTGGCTAAGGATAACAAGAAAAAACAGTGTAATGTTTATTTTGTTCATGGGAACCACTCTATCTTGATAACCCTAGATTGGTAGGTCTCATTTTCCTTTTTTTTTTTCTTTTTCTTTTTTAATCTTAATTTGAGTCCAAATCAGTTGTAAACTATTAAGCATAATTGATGGAACTAGGGAATGGTCAAGGGTTGCTTGGGTTGCCAACGATTTATATGTTCTTTTATTTATTTATTTATTTTTGAGAATGTATATGCTCCAGCACATTGCAATGCTTTGTTATATACCTATTTTTTAAGTCTCACATCATTTAAAAACAAAGCTAAAAGAAGTTATCTTCTTAATAAAATGTCTTAGCCCTCCCCTTTAACAGACACATGGGCAGAGCACTTTAAAAACCACCAAGTGTAATTGTCTTGGTTGGCTCTGTTACCATTGTCAGTTGCTGATGAACCTGTTACAATTGGTCAACATTATTAGTCCTGGTCAACCAGCTGAAATTGGTCTGGGTTGGTCAGGGTAGCAGTCCAAACGCCTGGATCAGCTGGTATTTGATTGAGTTTGACTAAAGGTTTCTCTCATGGCTGAACTGAAATTAAGGCCTATTTGCAGGAACCCTGATTGAACTGATGCGATTTTGACAGCCTTGACTCATTTGGCTTCTTATGTTTTAATTGTAGAGATCCAATAATGAGACTCATAGTCTTTTGATCTATTTGTATTATACTCTACATATTGTGGTCTGTGTTGGTTTATGTAGTCGTCTGCCATCACGTTGTCCTTGGATGAATGTTTGTGCTCTTGATCGTACAAGCCACGGTATGCTTCATTATTGTTATCAGTATTATTTGAATGATTGTGGTGGCCTGTGGTAAACCAGAAATTTTCCTTTGTTTTCTGTCCTCATTTTATTTGAAGTTATAAGTACTTATTTCAGAGGAGTGTGTTGAAAGACCATAAAATCTGCTGACACATTTAAGACAACCTTTTGTAATAATTTATGTTAATTGATTGCAGTTACTTGAAAAGAGGGGTTAATGATAGGGGAAGAGTTGCAAATGATGTTGAAACAGAGCAAATTGTCCTTGATGAAGATGCTGGATCATGCAAAGGGAAAATGAGTTCTGTTGTGCAGATGCGTGGTTCGATTCCCCTTTTCTGGTCACAAGAAGCTTCGCGATTTAGTCCTAAACCTGATATAGTCTGTAAGGCCATTGATTCAACCCATTTGATTAGTTTGTTGTTGAGTCTTGCAGTGATGTAGGTCAGATAGCATCTATCTTCATATAAAGAAGTCTTCTGATATTTATTTCCCAATCTATATCAGTGCAAAGGTACGATCCTACCTACCAGGCGACCAAATTGCATTTTGAAGACTTGGTGAAGAGATACGGCAGTCCCATAATAGTGCTTAATTTAATAAAGGTTATTTTCAATTTCACATTTCTGCTTAATATATTCTAGGCTCTTGTTAGATTCTGTTAACAGGTTGTTGTATAGATCTTGCATTACCTTACTTGACGAAATTGAATAAATCTTGCATTTGATATAATCTAGAAAGAAATGCATGGGATTAGAGTTCATTTTCTTGTTTGTTAAAATAGACCATCAAACCCAAATTAGTTGCTCCTTACAGTTTCTTGTATATATGATTGTGTTCTTATAGGTTTGCTGATTGTTCTTTAAGGACTTTAAAGAATTGCAGCTTTATTAACTAGATTGCCATTAAATTGCTGTCGTTGCATTATTTTCATGTATTCTCTAAACCATGCTGGGCATTGATAAATGTTTACCTGAATTTTTTATTCTATTTTTTTGAACTGGAAAAACATATTAAAAGGATGAGTGCTTATTTCGACACTTGATTATATTAGCAAAAGCTTATCAATTTCAGCTTTAATATTTTGGGGGAGAATGCAGTGATGCGTCCATTTGAATGGTCCTCTTAAAATATACTGTCTTTCCATTATACTTCTTTCACTCTAGAATGAAGCAGATGGACACAAACTCTCCCTAGGAAGTTTCTGTTTATGGAGGATCTGGTAGTTACTGAAACCATTTCTGGTTCTGTTTTAGTTTCTGGGATAATTATGAATTACTGTCAGCCTTATCAAAATTAGTATTCAGCTTTCACACACAAATATATTTATTTTACCTGTGATATTCTCTTGTTTAATCTTTCGGTGCTTTATCTAATTGTTGTAGGTTTCATTTATCAACATGCTTATTACATGTTGAATGTCTTTTCTATTGCTTTATGTCATCCTGACTTCATTTAAATGCTCAAATGCAGACTGTTGAAAAAAGGCCTAGAGAAATGATTGTAAGGCGTGAGTTTGCTAATGCAGTTGGGTATCTAAACACAATTCTCCCAGAAGAAAAACAACTTCAGTTTATCCATTGGGACTTTCACAAGTTTGCAAAGAGGTAGATATGCATCCCTTTTCACACCAATTTCAATTTTATAATTAATAACCACCTTGAACTGACTGCCTTTTTTTTTTTTTTTTTTTGCGGTTTCCAAAGCAAGTCTGCCAATGTTTTGGCTGTTTTGGGTGCTGTGGCAAGTCAAGCACTTGATTTGACTGGTTTTTTCTTTAGTGGTAAACCCAGCACTGTTAAGAGGAGAGCCAACGCTCTTAGTCGAACAAGCACCGGAAGGTATTCAAGTTTCTTTAGTTGAATTTATTTATTTACACAAAATTTAAACATTCATGTTAGTTCATGATTGGAACTCTTCATGTAAACTTCAATCTTAGGTCTCTTGAGTATGAAGTTTGTCAATGCTTAATATTTCCTTTCTTTGCGATGCTGGGTCATCCATCTTTGAAATTTTTTTAGCAAACCTTAGCTGATGAAGTGTTAGTAGGAATTTGTTGCCAAAAAAGCCAAAACGATACGTAAAGGTGCTCATGTGTGTGAGAAAGCGATAAGCCATATTGCAGATAAGTAATTGAAGGGCATCAAACTTCACAATTAGTGCATGACATGAAGATTTTGAAGCAGCTTTTACTGTTATAGAGTCATACTTCAAGAGCATGTACTGTGGTGGATGATTGGATTTTCTTTATTTCTAATCATTACAGACAATGGCTGTTAAGCCTAATAGTGACAAGGTACTCAATCAATTATAACCATGGTAACTTTGGACCTTATGAAGCCTTGAAAGTAGAAAGCTTTCTTTTTGTACCTTTTAAGTTCTGTATTCAGAATGTCTTCTTCCCGTTTGGTAATTTAGTCTCTTTGTAGCAGAAAAGCATAGAGTTTGGCCATGTATTTCTTTCTAGGCTGTTTGCTTTTTCATTTCTTTTGCCTTTTTTTTTTTTTTCAAATGAAAACCTTTTATGTTCAGAGTAAATGTTGGAGCAGGAAATGGGAGATTCCTCTCAAAACAAGACTATGCAGTCTATGAATTTCATAAAGAGTTGACTCTATTCTTTGCAGGGATGCTTCTCTTAGAGATCTAAGAGCTAGTTCTGGAGATCTTGCAAGGATTGGGAGTAATAATGAGAATCTAAATTCTTTGATAAATCGGGATAGAGAGAGTGATTCCAGTCAACTGGATAGAGAGAGTGATTTCAGTCAACTGAAAAAACAAGATAAGGTTGGTGCTGAAGGACCACATTTTCAGAGTGGAGTTCTTCGCACCAACTGCATTGACTGCTTGGATCGTACAAATGTTGCTCAGTATGCTTATGGTCTAGCGGCTTTAGGACGCCAACTCCATGCAATGGGTCTGACAGACATGCCCAAAGTTGATCCTGATAGTACCATTGCTGCTGCTCTTATGGATATGTATCAAAGTATGGGGGATGCTCTTGCCCAGCAATATGGTGGTTCTGCTGCTCATAACACTGTATGCTTTCTCATTAATAACTTTGGTTTTAATATTTAATTTGCTCATAACTGCAGTCATTATATCAAGACCTGATCTTGTGTTTCAGGTGTTTCCTGAGAGGCAGGGAAAGTGGAAAGCTACAACTCAATCAAGGGAGTTTATTGAATCTATCAAGCGCTACTACAGAAATGCATACACTGATGGTGAAAAGCAAGATGCAATAAATTTGTAAAGATCTTTCCATCATGCTTTCTACTTGATTTTATTGCATAGTTTACTTTCTTTTTAGCTAAGTGAATGATGTGAATTTTCACTGTCTGAGAATAGATGCATTTTTAAATACAAGGCTGTTTTTCATTTCCAGATATGACAGTTACTAGGACTTGATTGTAGAGACTCTATATAGATAGGCGCGCATGTAAACTTCTGTAAAGATAACAAAAGGCAATTAATTATTTTTTGTATTCTTGAAATGCACTTGTTTTTCTGTGATTGTTTATTGATTGGTGTGATTCCCCCCAAATATGAATCATGTTCTATTTGAAATGTTTCCTCTTTGGAGTAGCTTCTACTCTTCATATTTGAGATTTTCTAATTGTGGACTTTAGTTTTAATAAGTTTCATATTTCATATGTGGATAAGAAAAATAAATCTAACAAAAGAAAAAAAATTGACTGAATTGTTGGAATTCCAAAACCACTAAAAGGTTTCGTTACATCAACCAAAACCAAATGCAAAAAGCAAGAACTATATTGCATGCTTTATTAGTGAATGTAATACTTTGATGTTGGTTATATTTGTATATGATCATAAAATTAAATGTTTTGTTCTAAATGAATAATGCAAAAGTAATACTTATTTTCTTGACTTATTTTTTGCCATCAATACTATTTTTGGCATGCATTAGGCATGCACAATTTCCTTAAGTGTGTTCTCAAATTATAATCTCTGTGCTGCTTTCCAGATTTCTGGGTTACTTTCAACCTCAGGAAGGGAAATCTCCTCTTTGGGAGTTGGATTCAGACTACTATCTTCATGTCTATGGGAATGCAATAGGAGAAGTAGACCCCCCTATCCAGATAAGTGGTAAATTAAAAAATATTCAGTGTTAGTTTGGTTCAAATTCAGCAAACATGCATACTCAACCAGAAGGCATCTATTTCATCAACTTCTGATTATTTTATTGTATCTTACTTTTCCAGCAATTCAGAAACCAATGCTAAGCCTGTAGGGGTTGGAATAACTCTTGCCCCCATTCCAGCTTGTAGGGACGACTTTTCAAGAATGAAGTTGACATCATTTGATAAATTGATTGACCGGACAGGTGCTATAAAGAATGTAAGACTTTGTAGTGAACCTGATCACAGACCAGGTGGCAGTGCAGGAAATTCTGGTGTGGCTCCTGATGCAGTGTAAGTTTTCCCTTAACTGGAGCTGTTGACTTGCTGCCTGATTATGTCATTTTTCTCTCTGTTGCATGCATGTGTGGGCACACATCTGTTCTTATCACTGACGTGCACATATTTTTTATGCGTTGTTCAGCTTTCTAAAATCATCAACTGCAAGTGTTCTGATGCCTTCAAACTGTAATCCAAGATGTGCTTTGCCTCACATTATAGTTACAATATATGTATTTCCTTATTCCAGCACTGAGTATACTGTATTAGTCAAAAGGATCACAGGAATCTGTCAGACTGTTTTCTTTGACCCTTTTAGAGTAGTGAAAACACAGCTGTTTATGTTGCTTTCATAGTTTATTGATTTGTTTTCTCCTGTCATACCCCTTAGGTTGTGTTTGATTTGGGGTTAAAGGGCTCTTAAGTGTTAAGGCTTTAACCATGTTTAGGAAACTTTACAGATTGAGGGTAAAATTTAAGGGGTTAACTACAATTTTTAGCCCAATTTCCAAAAATTGGATTAAGTGTTAGCCTAGGGCGGGGGTTAACAAAAATGTCAAGGGCGGAAATTTTTGGAACTTGTGCTTTTCTGTTTTTTCAATATAACTATTTATTTTCTTTTTTCTAGGAATAATCAATGGGTTAGGTAACAAAAATGCCAAGGGGGGAATTTTTGGGCCTTGTGCCTTTTTATTTTTTCAATCTATCCATTTATTTTCTTTTCTTGTTCTATGAATAGTCAATGGGTCCCACAAATATATATATTATATATAATTTAAACTGTGTTTAAATTTATTGGGTCCCACGATTACACATAATTTTTACACTCCTACCAAACATCCTTACATTTTACACTTCAACCATTTTTTTTAACCCTTAAAACTGAATCCCTTAACAAATAACCTCCAATTAATCCCGAAGCAAACACGACCTAAGCAGGTTTGGTACTGGGAAATAAAATGATATGAAAGTGTGAATAGAGAGCAATATCAGGATTTATTGAAGGATAGTCAAAATATCAAAACACATGAAAAAAAAAAAAGCAAATTGAGAATTTCGGTATTGTGCCTAGCATGGAATTGGGGTAGACACAAGTTTATTTGCCTAAGAGAAAATTCTTAAAATGATCCATTGATCATAAAGTTCATTTTTAATTTTAATTTTATTTTTTGTTCATAGTTGTAATTTTGATCTGCACTTGGCTCTTGCCTGCTCTGAAATGGGTTGCTTGGGGGCATAAAGTTTGCAATATGTAGTGCTTGTTACTTTTTTGCAAGTGCCAACTATGTTCGCCGGAAATGTGTTTTTTTGCAGTGAAATACAGCTCAAAACCCCAAATTGGCTTTTTGGCCAGAAAAAGTATGAAGAGAGTGGCAGTGCCCCCAAGGCTGCTAAAAGTGAAATCGAAAATGGAGCGCCTTATAAAGAGATTGATGTCGATGATTACTCAGAATTAAATTGGCTTTCTTCTGTTGGTGATATCAATGAAGAGGATATCTTTCAGAGGTACTTTTATATATTGTCTCCCCATCTTTCTGAGAGACCACCTTGCTCGCTTTCTATGAGTCAAGGTTGAGCTCTATTAATGGCTTATGATAGAAGCAATAGTCTAAACACCGCATACCTTGCTTGCTTGAGTTGGCAGTTTCAGTTTTAGCTTGAATCCTGCACGAACTTAGCTATCACGATTCACATGTAACTTCATTCATGTCAGCATGTGCGCATGCATATGCAGGTTGCTATTAATTTTCTAAGTTGGATGGTAAAGTTTTGAATAATGTTCCTTGATTAATAATGTGAATTGATTGCATCTGTATTCATTGAATAGCAAACGCATGCAAATTGGGAAGTTGTAATTTCTTTGATTTGCACTCTCTTTTTAGTTTAATTCCCTTTTTTTTTTTTTTTTTTTTTTTGCGGAAACTCAAATGAATGACAATTGTCAAGTTGTGGTTTGGTGTCAAGGTACCTTGCAATGACCTCAGTTGATGAAGCCAATGGTTGGTATGGTGGTACCCTACTAGGTGATCAGGATGAAAGCAGTGAGATATATAGACATTATGCTGAATTATGCCAGGTAAATTGATTTAGGCTCTAATGAAGCACACATGACAAATAGGACAGGCTAGAATGATTTCTTCGTAAATGGTATGGTTGGAAATTGGCATTTGCAACCTGCTGAAGCCTTTTTTTTGCATCCCATATTTTGTGCAGCGCTGTGTGTTCTGAATTGACTTCATACATTTTCTAGTTTTATATATATATATATATATATCAGAAGGAAAGGGTCTTTATTTTCTGGTGGATTGAACATGTATTCTTTTAACAAACAGTATTTGCATTAACAGGGGTCAGCTTTGGAACCCTTTGAGCATGATCTGGATAAGGAGAAACACTATGCCGACGTTCTACGCATGAACGCAATTGATGTTGTAGATGATTCTGCTGTTGAAGCAGAGATGGAAGCTGCTCTCATGGATTATGATCGCATTGGTGCTGATCTTGGGATTTTACCAATGTCATGCAAATCCTTTGCTGCAGATCCAAGTTGGTTGACAAGATGGATTATTGGGGAAGAGAAGGTAGAAAAGATCTGAAGTCTCTGCTTGTGCATGCGTTATGCAACTGTTGTAAGCATACAGAAGTTTCTTGTTGTCAGAAAAAGTAAATAGTAATTGTTTATACAGGAAAAAAAAAATATCAAAGTAAATAGTAATGGTTTGTAAAATATGCAAAAGGTGGAAAAAAATGCTTCTTCATTGAGGCCAAAAACACATTTTTGTATATGTAGCCTTAAATATGTATCTTTACATAGAGGAAATTTCAATCGACTGCAAAGTCATTGTTGCGTGTGTTTAAAAAAAAAAATGAAAAATGCGTTCTAGCCTCACTCTTTCCGTCGTTCTCTCCTCTCACACAAACATCCACTTGTTTGCGCACCCACAGCAGAAGTCTAATGTTATAAAGATACAGAGCAGGTTTTTCTTTTTCCTTTTTTCTGCAAAATATATGTCAGTGCTTCTCTTAGTATTCAGAGAATGCATTGTTACTTTCCCTTGAGCAGAATGACATTTACAAATACTAGTCAGTCAGTCTTAGTGTTAGCAATTGCATGGGGCCAACAGCTGCAACAAATGTTAGATGGCATGGGACTTAAAAAAACAGAAAGGTTTATGTGAAGAAAGATCGGCAAGACTGCTTACTTCTCCGGTGTGTCGATCATTCAATTTCAAGATTATGTGAAAAATTTACTCCATAACAATTATTCAATACGATCATGTTCGGCATTAAGGTTCGTTCCAAGAGTCACAATTAATACTATGATTTAGGAAAATTTTCCCATAATCAGAGGTTTATCATTCACTTCAAATCTCAAGATAGATTGTGAGCGGAAAATAAAGAAACCCTAGCTAAGATAGTATCATTCTAGATTTAGTAGGCTTAAGGACTGATTAGTTGGGATTTCTTCTCTTTTGCTCCCAATATCAGTGATACATATTTGTAGAATCAATAGGGGAGTTTCGGATGATGTTATAGGTTTCGGACCAGTTAGAACCTCTCTCTTTTGCCCCCCATTGTGAGTAATACACATTTGAAGAATCAATAGTAGGAGTTTTCGGTGACATAGGATTCAGATCCGTTGGAACCTTTCTCTTTTGCCCCCACTATGAGTAATGCACATTTGAAGAATCAATAAGAGGAGTTCCTGATGACGTTGGAACCTCTCTCTTTTGCCCCCATTGTGAGCAGTACACATTTGAAGAATTTATAGGAGTTTCTGGTGACGTACCTGGCACCATCACGTAAACACAAACAAAAATTTTCAAAAAACTATGATTTATTTTGCTAGACAGGAAAGACAATTTCCTTATATATATACATATCAAGACATGATTAAGCAATCAGGCAGATAAATTATCAATCAAAAATTTAAAATATAATGAGATAAATTATTTGATTTCCTTTTCTAAAAACATTTACCATTTTATTTCAAAAAATTCTCTTTTTTTTTCTGTGAAGTTCTATACATAATAATAATAAAGTTGGAAAGAAAATAAATTTGGAGAGACAAACCTGTAAAAACAAATAATTTTTTTCAAAAACTATTGATTCATTTTGCAAGACAGGAACACCAAGAAATGATTAAGCAATCAAGAAGATAAATTTATCAAATCAAAAATTTAAAATATAATGAGGTAAAATCAAATATATTAATGGAAAATTGATAAACTTATTTTTGATTGAATATACAACTTGTAATTTATTATTATTATTATTATTATTATTATACATCTTCTAATAATTTTTTACCGTTGGCTTATATACCGATATATAATATATTCATGTTGGATAATATAAAATCAATTAATGAAAAACATAAATTGCATTCAATAATCTTGTGAATATATATACGGCATGGAACAGATCAATGACGGGCCGAGCTGGGTTAGCAAGCATTGCCTAAAAACCTTGAACCCAGCCCATGTTTCTGCCGTGCTAAGCCCCCAATGTTAACTCTGCAACCGGGTCATGGATTAGTTCTGCTACTACCATATAAAAAAGCGGTTTAAAGGCAAAAATTGCCTCCTAACTATTAGATTTTGGCAATTTTGGATACTTACTATCAATTTAGATTAATTGAACCTTAAATTATTATTTTAAAAAATATGATTCTTGTCATTATCTTTAACAATCAAATGATTGACCGTTAACATTCATAATTTTTTCTTATAAAAACTAATAAATAAAATTAGTTAACTTGGTTAAATTATAGTGGTCTACATAAAATTACATAGTAGATGTTCATTATATTACAAAATTAATAAAAACCTTCAAAAAAAAATTTAAAACTACAGATTATCAAAGAAATATATAAAAGTTCATATATTTAAATAAAAAAATAAAAATACAAAAACTCAATTACAAATAAAATAAAATATTCAGGTTCACGTTAGCTAAAATTATCATTAATGTAAATTTTAAATTTTTTTCTAATCAAATATTTATGTTAAATTCATACTGACATAACTATTAAATTGAATATATGAAAAATAAAATATGTAAATCTAGTATTAACTAGATTGTCGTTAATGTAAATTTTAATTTTTTTAATAAAGTAATTCTGTAAAATTCATACTAACATAATCATTAAATTGATACGTTAATAAGCTGATATGTCTACCACACGAGCATGAACATTTTATTTTATCATCAATATAGGGAGACGGATAAAAAAAAAAAAATGATGAGAAAAACATGAAGAATTTTTTTAATATATATATCATTTTCAGCGGATTTGTAACGTGTTTGATTTCTTGTTTCAAAATTCACCACTATTTGATGCCATGCCATGAAGAAAATTGTTGATAAACTAGATGCATATAATCCATAATAACTTATCTATCCATAACAAGCGTATTGGTACATAATTGGATTTAATTGAATATTTATGAAACTCATTTCATGTTACAAAATTGTTTCTATTGGATATCTTAGTCTCCCAGTCAAGCTATTTCGTAGAACATCATTTTTTTTTTATGAGTGTTATTAATTTTGAAATCTAACAAATAATTACTAAACAAGTTTATGTAGACCATATTTTGATTGAGTTGACTACTTTTTTAAAAAAAGAAAAAATTTAAATGTTAGCAGTCGAATGGTTGACTATTGATGATCAATCATTTAACCGCTAATAAAAACAGATAAAAATCATATTTATTAAAAATAATAATTTAGAGTTCAATTAAACCAAACTAATAGTAAAAATTTGAAATTGTCAAAACATAATAACTTAGGAATAATTTTTGCCATTAAATCATAAAAAAGGGACTATGAGTATATGATTTTTGTTATAATACAGGTAAGAAGCACAACACAAGTTTTATATAAACTTTATTCTACCTCGTAAAGAATTAAAGCATAAGATTTTGATTTGTGTTGTGGATGAAGACTTTGTAGCCTTAGAGGTAGCGATGATTTTTCATTTATTTTTGAAATTTCCTTTACATCACGCTTTCCAATTTTTTTTTTTTTTTTTTTTGGAGATTAAAAAGATAATGATAACGTGAAAAGTGACGTGGCATAGAATTTGAACCTCTAACATTACCTTCTGGTTAGACTTTCTAGCAAACATGGGCTTTCCTTCAAGGGCTGATTTAATGCATAACATTTGATCCCATTGATTTTTTTTTTTTTTAAAAAAAGGAAATAAAATTCTAAACTATTCCTCCGTATATATATATAAAAAAATATATTCATATGTTTACTAAATTGATCACAATGATATTATTATAAAATTCGAGAAATATTTGCAAGGATTTGATCCACCACCAAAAATAATAGACTAAACCAATATTTTTGAATATGAATCTTTTCACATTTAATAATAATAGAATCATAATTATGGAATGAAATAATTAATTAGTAATGTCTAAAATTTTTATGAATTTGATCCATACTTTTCGGTGATGGATCAAGTATTGATTGTTCATCCATAATTTTGGGTGCTTAGCAATGATTTAGGAGGTTTATATAGCTTCTTTAGTCATATAGTTTAAGTGATTTTTATTTATGCCCCAAGTCTATATAAAATGATTAATTAGGAACCCGAATGCATTTTCTTTAGAAATTTTCCCCCTCTTTAATTTATATTGGTCCCTGTCTAGTTTTTTCCTGTTTCGTTCTAATATTCAAACTTCGTTTGCCTTTAATTTTTTTTCCTATTTACATAATAAGATGTTAACTTGAGAAACAAAATGTTTTTTTTTTTTTTTAAAGTTTGCTCAATTGGATTAGTTTAGCCCCTGGTTTGTTGGATGGGTTTCTTTTTAGTGACTTTATTTTTTAAAAAAACAAAATAAATAAATAATAAGCATGCACTCTACATTTGCAATAGATAGTTTATTTTTTTATTTATATGGCATGAATAAATATTATAATTTCTTGATTCATGCATTGCTATACATATAATTTACAAGTTCCAAACTTTGGCATACCAGAATTACCTTTTAGTTCATTTTTATTTCATTTTATTTTTAATTTGTTTTGTAATTAATAATTTGCGTATCATATTCTTGTATTACTTAAATATGTGATTTTATAGTCTCGGAATCTCAAGTTGAGTTAACGACCGTTGATAGCCTATTATACCTTGACACCAAACTAATCTTATAATTTATCACAATACTAATACATAATCTTACTCGTACCAACTTAATCACGTCGGGTTAAATTGGCTTTCTTCTGTTGATCTCCCCATCTTTCAGAAAGACCACCTTGACCGCTTTTTATGAGTCAAAGTTGAGCTCTATTAATGGCTTATGATAGAAACAATAGTCTAAACATCTCATACTTTGCTTGCTTGAGTTGGCAGTTTCAGCTTTAGCTTGAATCTTGGACAAACTTAGCTATCACGATTCAAATGTCAGCATGTGCGCATGCATATGCAGGTTGCTATTAATTTTCTAAGTTGGATGGCTAAGTTTTGAATAATGTTCCTTGATTAATAATGTGAATTGCTAAGGTACCTTGCAATGACCTCAAATGAATGACATTCTATACATGATAATAATAATGAAGTTGGAAAGAAAATAAATTTGGAGAGACAAAGCTGGTACCATCACATAAAAACAAATAATTTTTTTTTCAAAAACTATTGATTCATTTTGCAAGACAGGAAAGCCAATTTCTTTATATATATATATGCACCAATACCTGATTAAGCAATCGAGCAGATAAATTATCAAATCAAAATTTTAAAATATAATGAGGTAAAATCAAATATATTAAGGGAAAATTGATAAATTTATTTTGGTTGAATATATAATATATACCTTGTAATTTATTATTATTATTATTTTATGAAACATCTTCTACGAATATTTTACCGTTGGCTTCTAAGAAAATTGATTAATTTATTTTGATTGAATATATAATATATTCATGTTTTATAATGTAAAATAAATTAATGAAAAACATAAATTGCATTCAACAATCTTGTGAACATACATTCGGCATGGGAACAGATCATTGACGGGCCGAGCTAGGTCAGCAAGCATTGCCTAAAAACCTTGAGCCCGGCCCATGTTTCTGCCGTATTAGGCCCCCAATATTAACTCAGCAACCGTTATGGATAGGGTTCGGACCACCTGGAACCTTTCTCTTTTGCCCCCATTGCGAGTAATACACATTTGAAGAATCAATAAGAGGAGTTTCCGATGATGTTGTAGGATTCGAACCCATCGGAACCTCTCTCTTTGGCCCCCACTGTGAGTAATACACATTTGAAGAATCTATAGGAGGAGTTTCCGGTGACGTTCTAGGATTTGGACCACTTGGAACCTTTCTCTTTTGCCCCCACTGTGAATAATACACATTTGAAGAATCTATAGCAGGAGTTCCTGGTGAAGTTTTAGAATTCGAACCACTTGCAACCTCTCTCTTTTGTCTCCATTGTGAGTAATACACATTTAAAGAATCTATAGGAGGAGTTCTTGGTGAAGTTGTAGGAGCCGGACCACTTGAAACCTCTCTCTTTTGCTTTTGTTCCCATTGTGAGTAATACACATTTGAAGAATCTGTAAAAGGAGTTTCCGGTGACGTTTTAGGATTCGGACCACTTGGAACCTCTCTTTTTTGCCCCCAGTGTGAGTAATACGTATTTGAAAAATCTATAAGAGGAGTTTCCAGTGACGTTGTAGGATTCGAACGCGTTGGAATTTTTCTCTTTTGCTCCCATTGTGAGTAATATACATTTGAAGAATCAATAGAAGGAGTTCCTCGTGATGTTGTAGGATTTGGACTGGTTGGAACTTTTATCTTTTGTGATATCGTAGGGATCAGATAAGTTGCATGTGAATCAATAATAGGAGTTTTCCATGATACTTTAGAATTGGGACTGGTTGAAATCTTTCTTTTTATCTCCCGGTAAAAAGGTTTGGGAAGATATGAAGACACAGTCACTAGTGTCTTGGTTTCTGGATCAACATTAGAAGCTTGGCCACACGCATTCAGAAAAACATGGAGAAGTGTGGAGGCTAAGAGTAAGTAGGTTTTGGAGAAATCCATTGTTATTTTGCTGTTCGTCAAATAATTATCGTTTGGGGAGATTTTATACGCATATAATAGCATTGCATTAAACCAATTTTCCGTAAATTAGGCAAACAAATTTTATTTGATTTCCTTTTCTAAAAATGTTTACCATTTTGTTTCACAAATTTCATATATATATATACATTCCAAGACATGATTAAGCAATCAAGCAGATAAATTATCAAATAAAAATTTTTTAAATATAATGAGATAATATCAAATATATTGATGGAAAATTGATAAACTTATTTTCATTGAATATATACCTTGTAATTTATTATTATTTTATGAAACATCTTCTAGTAATTTTTTACCGTCGGCTTATATACCCATACAAAATATATTCATGTTTGATAAAATAAAGTCAATTAATGAAAACCATAAATTACATTCAATAATCTTGTGAATATGTATACGGCATGGGAACAGACCATTGACGGGCCGAGCTAGGTCAGCAATCATTGCCTAAGAACCTCGAGCCCAGCCCATGTTTCTGCCGTGTTAGGCCCCCAATATTAACTCAGCAACCGGGTCATGGATTAGTTTATATAAAAAAGCGGTTTGAAGGCAAAAATTGCCTCCAAATTATTAGATTTTGACAATTTTGATATTTATTATCAGTTTAGACTAATTAAACCTTAAATTATTATTTTTAAGAAATATGATCTTTACCTGTTATTTTTAACAATCAAATAGTCGATCATTAACATTCCTATTTTTTTCCTTTTAAAAAAAGTATAAAATGAGTAAATTTGGTTAAAATATGATCTACATAAAATTACATTGTGTTATTCATTATGTTACAAAATTAATAACACTTTTCAAAAAAAAAAATTGAAACTACATATTATGAAATAAATATATAAAAGTATATATATTTAAATAAAAAATAAAATATTCATGTTCACGTTATCTAAAATTATCGTTAATGTAAATTTTTAATTTTTTATAATTAAATATTTCTGTTAAATTCATTCTAACATAATTATTAAATTGACTAGAATGAAAATAAAATAAAATATGTAAATCTAGCATTAACTAGATTGTCGTTCATGTAAGTTTTAATTTTTTTAATCAAGTATTTCTATAAAATTCATGCTCACATAACTATTAAATTGATATGTCAGCATGTTAATCTATCCACACCATATAAGTATGAATATTTTATTTTATTTCTAATCGAGTGTTTTTTTATTTTTTATTTAAATATATGTATTTTTATTTTTTTCTATTTAATTATCTTTATTTTCAAAAAAAAATGAGTGTTATTAATTTTAAAATTTAACAAATATTCACTATGCAATATCATGTAAACCATAATTTGATCAAGTTAACTATTTTTTTAATAAAAAAACTTAAATATTAATGATCAAATGGTTGACTATTGACTATTGATGGTCAATCATTTAACTATTAATTATAACAGATAAAAATCATATTTATTAAAAAAAATAGTTTGGAGTTCAATTAACCAAACTAATAATAAAAATATCAAAATTATCAAAAACTAATAGTTTAGGGGTAATTTTTGTCATAAAACCATAAAAAAAATCATAAATATATGATTTTTGTTATAACATAGATAAGAAGCACAACACAAGTTTTATATAAATTTTATTCTACCTAGTAAAGAATTAAAGCGTGAGATTTTAATTCGGGTAGAGAGAAACTGAGACGTCCACTGGCATATAATTTGATTGATTTGTGTTGTGGATGAAGACTTTCTAGCCTTAGAAGTAGTGGTGATTTTTCATTTATTTTTAAAATTTCCTTTCCTTCATGCTTTCCATTTTTTTTTAAAAAAAATAATAAAATGAAAAGTGACGTGGCATAGAATTTGAACTCTCTGACATTACCTTCTGGTTAGACTTTCTAGCAAGTATAGGCTTTCCTTCTTACTGTACTATTGTCACCAGGAACAAGGGCTGATTTAATGCATAACACTTGACCCCATTGATTTTTTGAAAAAAAAAAAAAGGAAATAAAATTCTAAATTATTCGTCTGTATAAAAAAAAAAATCACATTTTTAATAAATTGATCCCACTAATATTATTATAAAATTCGAGAAATATTTGCAAAGATTTGATCCAGCACCTAAAATAATAAAATAAACCAATAAAATTATTATAAATAATAAAATTTGTTCAAATCATCTATTAAGTAAATCAATTTTTTAATATGAATCTTTTTACATTTAATAATAATAGAATCATAATTATGGAATGAAATAATTAATTAGTAATGTCTAAAATTTTTATGAATTTGACCACAATTTTCGGTGATGGAACAAGTATTGATTGTTCATCCAAAATTTTGGGTGCTTACCAATGATTTTAGGAGGTTTGTTTGGGTAGTAAAGTGGTTGCCAAATGGCATGAACGGAAGAGGAAGAAACCGATAATGATGACAATGGGGGCTTTTGAATTTTTCTATTTTTAACAGTATGGTCCCTAGAGTTGTTACCTTGCTTAATTTTGGTAATTTAGTTTTGCGTCTTCATTTATTCCCTCCGATTCTATATAATAAGGGCTAAATTAAAGAAAAATAAATGTTATTAATTTGTCCAGTTTAGTTCCAATTCTTTTAGTTTTATTTTTCTTTAGTAATATAGTTCAAGTGATTTTTATTTATGCCCCCGGTCTGTATAAAACGATGAATTAGGAACCCGAATGCATTTTCTTTAGAAATTTGACTCTCTTTAATTTATATTGGTCCCTATCTAATTTTTCCTGTTTCATTCTAATATTCAAACTTGGTTTACCTTTAATTTTTTTTTCCTATTTACATAATAATAGGTTATCTTGAGAAACAAAATGTTATTATTATTATTATTTTAAGTTTTGCTCAATTGGATTAGTTTAGTCCATGGTTTGTTAGATGGGTTTCTTTTTGGTGACTTTATTATTATTATTTTTTTAAAAAAAAGGCGCATGCACTTTACATTTGCAATAGATAGTTTATTTATTTATTTTCTATGGCATGAATAAATATTATAATTTCTTGATTCATGCATTGCTATGCATACGATTTACAAGTTCCAAACTTGGCATACCAGAATTACCTTTTAGTTCATTTTTTTTATTTGTTTCGTAATAATTTGCATATCATATTCTTGTATTACTTAAATATGTGATTTTATAGTTTCAGAATCTCGCGTTAGTTTAACAACTATTGACAGTCTGTTATATTTTTGACACTATACTAATCTTATTATTAATCTTTTAATTTATCAGAATACTAATATATAATCTTACTCGTACCAACATAACAAAGTTTATATAATATTTTTAAAAACAAGTTAATCCTTTTTTAATTACTTGCATATTAAAAAAAAAATTATGTAAAATCTTAAATAACACATGATAAGCTGCTTAAATCATCTCAAACTAATATAATACTTCATTGACACGTTCATTTGACCATAAAAATTCTTAATATATATATTACATTAAAATTCATTAAATTATTAAATAGGATTCTTGGTTTTTCTTTTTCATTGGAGATTCTTAGTTATTGTTTTAGTAAACTTTAACTACTCTAAATTGAAGGATCCAATCATGGTTAATCAATTAAGATAAGTTGATAGCCCGTTATACTTTTGACACCATACCAATCTTATTATTAATCTTATAATTTATCATAATACTAATATATAATCTCACTCGTACCAACATAATAAAGTTTATATAATATATTTTAATATTAATTTTTATACAATAAACTAATCCTTTTTTAATTACGTGTTGAAATGTGCATGTGCAATATGTGCATGTGGGAAATATGCATGGTGATATGCACGGAATAGTAATAGAATGAATTGAGAGCGAGAGTTAGTTATACGCACCATGCACACCGTGTGTTTGTTGTATTGATCGACCCACACGGACACGAAGAGTGCCGGTTGTCAACCGATCCAAGAAGCTCGGAGTTGGGAAAATTCTTTATGTCGGAGACTTGCATCAACCAATGATGAGCACGCAAAGAATGATGTAGTTAGATAGTTTGTTATTTAATTTTCTTATTGTAAATATTCTAGAACATACACTATTGTATTTAAAGAGAAACTCACCGTAATTGTAAGGCATGATTTTGAATCATCAATGCAAATACATTTCTCTTCTCTATGCTTCTCTATGTTGCTATATCTCATTCCTCTATTTTAACATGGTATCGAGCCTAAGATCACAATCCAATAGCCTCTATTCAAACCTTGCATTTCATCCTTACTTTTCTATAAACATGAGCACCGAAGAAAACACAACAAATAGTGCATCCAAACCCAATGTAGCACCGAGTCATTGATTTTACAAATCCACTTCACATTCATGCTTCGACACACCAAATCCGGTATTAGTTCCGAAAGAGTTGGAGCTAAAAGGCATGGAGAATTATGGAGTGTGGTCTAGAGCTATGAAGATTTCTCTAGAGGCAAAGAATAAATATGGATTTATTGATGGCACATGTGAGAAACCGGACTCGACCTTCACCCTTATACGCACATTGGGTGAGATGCAATGCTATAGTGTTTGCATGGTCATTAAATACGATATCACAAGAGATTTATAATGCCATGGTTTACTACAAATCAGCTTGAAATGGTATAGAAAGATCTCAAAGAAAGATTTGACAAGGTCGATGGACCTCAAATGTTTGCTATCCACAGAGAGATCTCACATATCATGCAAGGTACTCTCTCTATTTTAGCATACTACTCAAAACTCGGAAAACTATGGGATGAATTTGAGACTTTAGTGACTTTTCCAACTTGTGATTGTCCTAATTCCAAGTTATACCTAGAACATACACAACATCTCAAAATGCTTAAGTTCTTAATTGTTTTAAATGAAAGCTATGTAAATGTGAGATCACAAATACTCATGATGATGCCATTACCTACACACACAAAAGCTTATTCCATAGTAAGCAATGAAGAATCTCGGAGGACGATCTCCAGTAGCGTGCAAATTCATAAAGC